GGAGGGGGCTTGGTATTTCTGGAAAACCATTATGGGTGACGCTCATGCAAAGCGATGCTTGTGCGCACTCTTGCAGTGCAGACAGACCCAGAGCTGCCCAGTGCTCTGGATTGATGGATGCGAGAGGGTTTGGTGTGGTAGGGTCCACCTGGTGCTGCTGTCCTCCCTGTGGGACTGCTACCTTTGCCCTGCGGGATGGGCACTCCTGGCTCAGCGTGGCACAGGAGTGGGCTGGAAGCAAGGGAAGGGAGAGGCTGGTCTTCGTGCCTCGCTTGTTGAAGATCATAGAATGGTTTGGGTTGGGAGGGACCTTAAAGATCCTCTAGTTCTACCCCACCTGCCATGGGCAGGGACACCTTCCACTAGACCAGGTTGCTCAAAGCCCCATCTAACCTGGCCTTGATGGGGATGGTGGAAAGATGTGGGTAAAATGCTGCCATGCCCTGAAACTGGGACCAGTGTCCCGCTGTGGCATGCTGGGCAGAGCCTGGCAGAGTGAGCAGCTCTGCTGCCCATAGGACATGCTAAAACCATGCTAACCCTATGCTTATCAGGAAACAGAGAAGATCATTGCAGAGCTGAATGAGACATGGGAGGAGAAGCTGCGGAGGACAGAAGCAATCCGGATGGAGAGGTGGGTGGGGTGGGGTGGGGTTCCCAAGGCATCTCCCTCCCTCTGCACTATGCCTACAGCACTTCAGCTCCTGGGTGCAGATTGGAAATTTGACCATCCAGGTGGATCCTGGCTGCCCCCTGGCCATGCCAGTGCCCACCACGTTAGCCTGCATGGACGTGGTCTGCTCTGAGAAACTCTCCTGAGGCACCAAGACAGCTGAAGCAAGCCGTATGGCTGTGATCCATGGGTCAAACCCATGGGCTCCAGTCCCATCCTGGGCTTGTCTAGCGCTGGCTTCAGGGGCTCGTGGGGCTTTGACAGGATCTTCTTTTCCCTTGCTCCTTCAGGGAAGCGTTGCTGGCTGAAATGGGGGTGGCCATGAGGGAGGATGGAGGTACCTTGGGTGTTTTCTCTCCTAAAAAGGTAGGATCACCATATTCTCCTCTTTCTGGCAAATGAGGGCTGGTTTGTACCCCCGCAGCTCCCTTCTGACCTGCCCTGTCACTGCTGGCCAGCTCTGAAACCTACAGGGGAGATCCCAGTGTTTACCCTGCTGGGTACAAACATCAGTAGAAACATAGGGCTAAATGTCCAGCCCCCATTGCCTGGATGCTGTTCCTATTCAGGTGGGGCTTTGCTGACAATTGCTGTGTTGGACTTCAGTATCAGCTTATAAAAATCTATACTTTGGGGTATTTGGCATTGCTGCCCTGGAAACTAACAAGTCCTTACTGAGAAATGTGGGTGTGGAAATATTCCACACTCTTTATTGCTTGTAGCATCCTGGAAAGTGTTTTCTAGGCAAATACTGGCCATACCCCAAAGAGTTTGTGTGCCAGTGAACCCTGCCAAGCACCAGTTATGGTACATCACTGCCCCTCACTAGTCTGTATAACCATTGTGGTAGTGATGTCCAGTTCACAGCCCCAACCCCATGAAGCCTGCAGAGCAGCATGGGCTGCCGAGGTGCAAGCACATGCTGGTTGGAGCAGGGCGTGCTTGCTCAGCTCTCCCACTGCACTGAGGGATGCTCTGAGAGCTGCGCCAGCAGTTGCTGGTTGGCTGGCCAAACATCTTAGTAGATGCATGTGTCCCCAGCTGAGGTGGTGACACTCGGTGATGAAGGCTCTGGGACCTTCCCCTTGTGTGCCTTGGTGTGGCTTTTAGGACAAATTTCTACACTGTCGTCTTTGTTTCTCGTTCTTGTCTCAGCTGCTGCCTGTTAGGACCCCAGACCTTTGTGTAGAAAGCGTGGGGGTTTATTCCCCGAAGCAAGTTGGTCTTGGAGGTGGGACGTTGCTGTGGTGGTTTCGGTGCCTCCTTGCTCTTCAGCTGTCTGGCGGGTGGAAACTACTCACTTATCCAGTGGCTGGCAAGGAAAGTTAGCGTTGACAGTGTGCAAAACTCAGTTTCCTTAAGGGCAAAGCAGGGCAGGACTTTGTTGTCCTGCTGTATGCCATCGTTGGGGTCTCCAAGGAGCTCAGTGGAAGGTAGAGTGTCTGCCTTCTACTAGTCAGCCTTGGAGATCTGGAGAAAAACTGCAAGCTTAAGGAGTCTCAGACCCTGGGACTACGTGACTGCCCAGAGGGGCATGAGGTTAAACGTTGCAGCTAACTTATTCCTGCCAGCCACCATGGAGAAGAGCCTGCGTTTCTTTTGACCTCCAGCTCTCCTGCACTATTTAGATTGAGTCTCTCCTATCAGCCAGGTCTGGTAGCATTGCCGTGACAGGAAACCTCTGCATGCCAGGTGTCAGTGGGCTGATAAGATGTTTCTTACAGTCTGTATTCTTATTTTGGGGAAACTCAGAACTTCATCTACTGATGCTCCTGGGACTTTGCTGTTGCCTGAAGGTACAATCACAGCAGATAAGCTAGCTGCAGCTGGAGAGGTCTGGGACAAGGGGAGAAACCTCCCTCTCATAGAGAACAAAGTGATTTCTGACCCAGGGGAAGAACGTGATGGGAGGAACTGTTAAGAAGGAGATCAGGGAATGAAATTCAGCCTGGAGATAAGGCTTAAGATCTTCACTATTCATTGAACATCTGGTCTGGGACCCGCTCTTTGGAATGCTTCATCTGCCCTTGTACTGTCAGTGAAGGAAAACAAGCACTTTTAGTTCCTCTCATCCTAAACCAGCTGCTGCATGGGACGTGTCTCTGCCTCAGCTACACTGTCTGCAGCAGAGCTGGAGGCTACGGTGAGGCAAGGGTCCATGGACACACGGTGCAGGCAACCAGGATCCTGCCGCAGGAGACACTAAACCATATCAGGGACTCCCCATGGGAAGTGTTTGGCTCTGTGTTAGGCCTATTCACAACACAGATTTTCAAAGGCAGCTGGTGGAAGGGTTCCCAAGGCTCAGACCTTTCAGGAGAAAGTAAGGAGCTGTGTAGAGGCAGGTCATCCTCATCACAGCTGCTTGGTTCTCTGCAGTTCCCTTGAAAAGTACCTGCCTGGGCATGTTGTCCTGGAGCTACAGAGGGCAGGAGAGCCCATCCACATGCAGGGGGGCAGCCTGAGGTGCTGCTGAATTCCCACCTCCCTCAGGAGTGTCACTTAGTGCCTGGGTAGATGGGGCACACCAGGGTGACTCATTTGTCTCTCCCAGACACCCCACTTGGTCAACCTGAACGAGGACCCGCTCATGTCCGAGTGTCTTCTCTACTACATCAAGGACGGGATAACAAGGTGAGGGCCAGGTCCCGTGGAGCGGTGGGAGCCTAGCCCATATCTCAGTGCCTGACTTGCCTGGGTGGGCAGTGGGGTGACAGCTGTCCCCAGGCTGGGCACCGTTCCCTGGGCATCCCCAAAGTGCTGTAGCCATGTGGGGAAAATGTATTTGCCTGGCAGTCTCATTAGGGATGTTGATCCTGCTGTGCACCAATGACTGCTCCTGTCAGCCCCAAGGATGGTTTTGAGGGAAGGCTCAGGGAGTGGGTGCTTTGAGGAGGGATCGAGCTGGATTTCCTCCTGGCAGGGTTGGCCGGGAAGATGCAGAGAAGAGGCAGGACATCGTTCTCAGTGGGCACTTCATTAAGGAAGAGCACTGCCTTTTCCGCAGCGACACCAAAACCGGCGGTGAAGGTATTCCTTGTCTGCGGGGGGGGTCCGCCTTCCCAGGGACCCCAGTCCCTCTGCATGTCCCCAGCACCTGCCCCCAGCCAGGGGTCCTGCCCTCCTCTGACTAGTGGGGCTCTCCCGCATGGCGGTGGCCTCTCCATGCTTCCAGAGCGAGCTGTGGCCCCCACCTAGCTGGGAGGGAAGCTTGTGCAGGGCACATGGAAGCTGCCGTGGTGAGGCAAGCCAGGGAGATCAGGGCAGTGTGGAAGAGCAAACCATAGATGATTCCCCCACCCAAGACAGAGCAGAGCCCACCCCACAAACCAGCAGGAACCTGGGGGTGAAAGGGCTTTGGGATATGAGACTAGGGAGGCTGGAGATGTGTGCTGGAAGTTCTGATTTCCTCTCATGTTCCAGTCTCCAGCTGCTTTTAATCCTTGGGACTGCTCTGATTAACATGAGGTTGGCTGAGGCCCATTGGTTGCCCAGGGTGTGGGGGCTGCTGGTGGATAGCCAGGTGTCCCCCCACTGTGTGCCTGGGGTGCCAGCTGGGGCAGCTCTCCCTTTCTGAGGTGCAGGAGCAGCAGAGTGGGACATGCAGGATTTATCCCTCTGCTTCCACCTCACCTTTGCTCCTTCTCTTCCCCTCCTGCCATCTCTGAAGTAATAGTGACCCTGGAGCCCTGTGAAGGTGCCGACACCTACGTGAATGGCAAAAAGGTGACGGAGCCCAGCATCCTGCGCTCAGGTGGGTCCCCAGAGCTGGCACGCCAGTACTGCTCTAACACACCTCCCTTCATCCCACAGGGGTCCTGCAGGTTGTCCTGCATTAAGCCCATGCCCTTTCCCACTGCCTTATGTGCATCCCTGTAGGAAACCGCATCATCATGGGAAAGAGCCACGTCTTCCGCTTCAACCACCCCGAGCAGGCTCGGCAGGAGCGGGAGCGGACCCCGTGCGCCGAGACCCCTGCCGAGCCCGTGGACTGGGCTTTTGCCCAAAGAGAGCTGCTGGAGAAGCAGGGCATCGACATGAAGCAGGAGATGGAGCAGCGGTGAGGGCACAGGGGCTGGGGTGATGGGGAGTTGCGTATTCACTTCCAGGTTGGTCATCCTCTCCTTCCTCGTTCCTCCTAGGCTCCAGGAACTGGAGGACCAGTACCGGAGAGAGCGGGAGGAGGCAAATTACCTTCTCGAGCAGCAGAGGCTGGTAGGTGGCCAGGACCTGGCTCCTTCTCAGGCTGCCCAGGCATGACTGAGTCCTGGCAGATGTTTACATGGGGTGGCTCTGTGTGTCTTAAAACCAAGGGCAAACCTGTTGTTTCTGGAGTTGTCCCCATAAACATGGATCCAGAGAAGGGAGGAGGCGGGGTTCCTGCAGGGGGGGAGGAACACTATGTGGCAGCATGGTGGAAGGTCACACCTTGTGGGTTGCATCATCCCTCTCCCTGCTTCCCCCAGGACTATGAGAGCAAATTGGAGGCGTTGCAGAAGCAGATGGACTCTAGGTATTACCCTGAGGCAAATGAGGAAGAGGAAGAACCTGAAGATGAAGGTGAGGGCTGTGTGCCACCAGGGGGTTTTGATGCTCTCTGTGGGAACAAGAAGAGTGGAACACAGGTCCCCTGGGCACCTCTGCACCAGTGTCCTCCCTCCTGGCAGTGGGGTGATTGTCCCTCCATGTCCCCACAGTGCAGTGGACAGAGCGGGAGTTCGAGCTGGCCCTCTGGGCCTTTAGGAAGTGGAAGTGGTACCAGTTCACCTCCCTCCGCGACCTGCTCTGGGGCAACGCCATCTTCCTCAAGGAAGCCAATGCCATCAGCGTGGAGCTGAAGAAGAAGGTGGGTGGCCAGGGCTCCTCTCTGGCTTGCTGTGGTACCCACAGCAGAAGAAAGCATGGGCAGCTGGGGAAGTGCTGAGGAGGGGGTTGCTGACAGCACCGCATGGAGCCTGGTGTTCTCCCGGGTAGCTCACCATCCCCTTCTGCCCCTCTCCAGGTCCAGTTCCAGTTTGTGCTCCTCACGGACACACTGTACTCGCCTCTCCCTCCCGACCTGCTGCCTCCTGATGCTGCCAAGGACCGGGAGAAGCGGCCGTTCCCCCGGACCATCGTTGCTGTAGAGGTGCAAGACCAGAAGAACGGCGCAACGCATTATTGGACCCTGGAGAAGCTGAGGTGGGTGAATGGTGCCCACACTGGGGAAGGCTTGGCTGGCCTCAGCCCAGTTTCTCACCCTTGTCTGCCACGCCCCCCCTCTGCCTGCAGGCAACGCCTGGACCTGATGCGTGAAATGTATGACCGTGCAGCAGAAGTGCCTTCTAGTGTCATTGAGGACTGCGACAACGTGGTCACCGGTGGAGATCCTTTCTATGACCGCTTCCCCTGGTTCAGGCTGGTCGGCAGGTGAGCGCTTCGGCTCCTTCTAAGCACGGCTGGGACCTGCAGGCAGCCCTGTGGGAGGAAGCGCTGCCAGCTCTGCTGTATGTAGGGCTTCATCTCCCTGGGGCCGTGCTGCAGGAGGATACGTTGCCCCCCTGGTGCTTGTCAGGGCCCATCTTGCCTGTGATGGCGCTCTCTGCATTGGCTGCTGGGACCCTGAG